GCGTGAGAGATATTTCCTCAGAGGTGCACTGCCATGATTTATTCAAGTGCTACATAGACATTACGGTAAGTCGATGTTCACAATGGGGAAGGTCCATTCAGATTATCGTCTGAATGTTGTTGGCTAGAAGCATGCAAATGTTCTCCGCTATGTCCTATGCGCATGCTAATCCCATTGGCTATCCTTGGTTTCGTCGCATTGGCGGCGACTTGAATTCTGGTTGTTCTCGTATCCATGTGTTTCTCCTGTTATCCGCGACACAACTCTGAGCGAGTTACCTGTACTCATTCTTTTGCATAGTCCTTACATTTGTTACGCCATCGCATCATATAATAAATCAGTGGCGTATAAATATATTGTGTAATAAATTGAAGTTTCCGGCAATGGCCCCTTTCAATCGGATTTATGAGCAAAGATGCTTCCATCAGATTTCACCGACCGTTATTCTTGTTATAGATATACATTTTCTATTTCTGCGGCGGTTAGGTAATAACGACTTGCGGACAACTTAAGCTTGTGCTGAGTGCGTAATTTCCATGTCCTTAATGCACAACGTGCTGACCAACGTTTACGCTCGTTGTAAAGATAATCCGGAAGGGCCCAATGCAAAATACTCACGGCACTCAGACGTCTATGCGTGTGTGTGTGTGTGCAATGTAATGCCTCAGTCTTTAATAGAAGACACTCAAAGTTATGCCTTTCATTTTATTATTATACTGATTACTCGGCACATTTTGGTGAGTGTTTAGGCCCTGCCTTGTCCTTTGGCCAACGTAGAGGCTACACAGCCAAACATCCATTCTATCAATACTTGTGAGTGTAGTTTACAAAAGAAAAATAATATAGCTCATTGAGATATTTCAATATGAAAAACGGTATACTATTTGTTTTTTTCGGTAAAGTCAAACCAAAGAGTATGAATCCTTGCAGTCACGAAAACTTCAAATCTAAAATGAAAGGCAGTTTAAAAAAAATAACGATTATTAAGGCAATGTGTGTATTCATATTCACATTTCGTAAAGTATATGAGTGTTCTAAAACATACATGTGCATCCCTATGGTTGTTGATCTATCACTCCACGAGCGTCTCCCATCATGCAGCCTTGCGGGTCATGGAGGTTTCTTGACCATACTTCACCACATTGCTATGTGTGGGGTGATGAAGACTGGGAGCATAGATGCGGGAGCAAAGAAGCAGAGTATTATCAGTGGCACACACCTCTCGGCACACGATCTTTAATAAACCGCCTCTCAAGGTTACGGTTGTAATTTTATTATAAAATGGGTGAGATTACTCGGCAGTTGTAGAGGCTGGTTTTTTTTACCTTATCAGAAGTCACCAGTATGAAAAAGGCACTCTCTGGGGCTGTCATACAGAGAACGAGCGGATCCATGAACAACACAGAGACCCACTGTGGATCACCATGTACCGTTAAGAGGTCCTCCTATATCCTCTGCACTCGGTGTCCTCTTGTTCCTGGAATGTATCCTCTTTCGCCACACTTCCCTCCCTCCAGTGTTCTGCAACCGCCGCCACTGACGACGATCTTGGGCTTTGATCGTCTTTGTAGCAGAGCTGCTTAGCTCAGTGGGCTTTGCCAGCTGAAATAAAGTCGTGAGCCCACTCATTCCTGTCCCGGACCAGCATCTCCACGTCCAAACTTTCACATCCTGCTTCACTACTTTGAACCACCTCTTGTCTATCTATGCCTGCATCTTGGTCCCACGTCTGGTGCTGCCATGCTCATCACCTTTCTTCCGATGTGGTTTTCCTCTCATCTGGGTCGGCAACCAAAATAACAATAATAGGCAGATTTTTTAAAAATTCTCTTTGGTTCTTTCGGTAAAGTCACGTAGAAAATAAAATCAAATAATAATAGAATACGATGTTTCGGTCGCAACACCAACAATCATCATCAGGTAAGAATGAATGATGAAACACAGACACGGAAACAACATAGGCAGACACACATGCAGACAGAGGCACACACAAAGACACACCGAGCGAGACACACACTAAGTGTGTGCCTCTCTCTCTGCATGTGTGTTTGCCTATGTTGTTTCCGTGTCTGTGTTTCATCATTCATTCTTACCTGATGATGGTTGCTTGTGTTGCGACCGAAACGTCGTATTCTATTATTATTTGATCAGATTTTCTACGTGACTTTACCGAAAGAACCAAAGAGTAGTTCCTGCAGTCACGAAAGCTTCGAATCTAATTTCTGTTTTACTTCGTTACAAAAAAAACATGTATCTATATTTCAAGAGCTGCAATGCGTGTGAATACGAGACGGGGGTTTTAACAAGTAAATTACGTCACGAAGCAGCCCTCAAAGAGCTGCATGCGGCTCCGTAGTCTCAGATTGCCGACCCTTGCCCTAGCCGTTGGAGTCAAACGTTCTTTCAGCTTGTCTGAGATGGGTACCCGCACTCTTGCCTTCACCCTCGTCTCTTCATGACTGATCCCATCCCGTCTTGTGGTCCCCGAGATGCATCTGGCCATCCTCTTCCCTGTGGTGCACAGCACCTCCAATATTAAATAATGTTTCGTACCTTTATCAGTCCACTGCTGGATGAAGTCTTCCACGTGCCGTCTCGGTCACGGGGATTGTTTGCCCCGAAATTCTCCGCGCTGGTCAGTGCTGGTTGGTGAAGGGAGGGGGGGGGGTGTGGGGTGACCCAGGACCGGTTCAGAAATCACTCGCCACCGATGCTAGATGTGACCGGGAATCGGACTTCGGTTGCCGGGGTTCAAAGTGCAAGTGCATTAACCACTCCGGCACCACTCCCCCATGCATATAATAGTCACCTTTTTCACTCTCTGAGGCACTGGCGGAGCCAGTGGGGGGAGGGGGGTGGCACGTGCCCCTCTCCCCAATGATCCGATCGAAATCCCTAATTTCGATCGGATCATTGGGGTTTATTAGTCATAAATCGGCATTTTGCGACTCCCATTGCCACTGTGTAGCAGATTATTATGTGCCAGGGACTCTATGAGATGATAGGACAATAGTCTGAGTCCATAATTGGCAATAAGTAATGGCAAAGCAGTTATAGGTGACTCACAGAATTGTGCGCAGTTACGTATACAGTCCACACGACTTCCCTGAAGGCAAACACCTTTACCGAGCGCGATGCCGATCACACAACGCGGTTCGAATTCGACCCTCGATCGATGGCTGTGCCATCGCCGCACACGCGTCGAATAAAAAGCAAGGGACAAGTCCTCACTTACTTACTTACTAACAACTCCTGTCATTTTTCATTGCTGGAGGGGTTTGCCCCCCTACCTGAAAATCCTGGCTCCGCCATTGCTCTGAGGTAAAACCTTGATGAAGAATCCTGTTCACCAAACCATCAATATCTGGTTTCTCCCCCACCCCCCCAAAAAAAATTGCAGGTTTTTTTAATTGTATTTGTCCTTAACGCATTTTTTCACGATTTAATGCGAACTTTAGTTTCTGTTGGACAAGACTGCTTCGCCCTGTGCCTCACTGCGAGCCAGCTGATTACAATGTGTTTGCTAATTTGTTCGGTAAAGCAGCGTGTCACAAACCGCAAACCGTTGTAATCGCCATGGGAAGTGTCAACTGCAGCGCCCCGACGATTATCCCAGCGAGGATCAATAACGAAATATTTGGCCCAGTCACACTACCCCCCCCCCCCCCGGCGAGGCAGAGCCTCTGCCAGGGTGTCTCATGGACGTCTAAATATTTTATATGCCATGTATATATCGCTCAGAGACACCACGTAACATTTTAATGCATTGGTTTGTTCGGGTATGGATACATTCATTCGTTCAGGCATTCATGAATTCGTTATTTATCCCATACATTCTCGTGTTTACCCACGAAATCGTTGGAAGTGTAATTGATCAATTCGTTCGTTAATTCATTCCTCCATTCTCGCGTGGACTATTAATTCATTCGCGAATTCATTTGTTTGTTCACCCAATCCGTGCATCGGGTTACTGCGCTGCCCCGTGCGAGATTGCTTGCGGATTTGTGCAGCAGTCCTCACAAACCGTGTGTGTGTGTAACCTACAAATTGTACGCAAGTTACATGCAACCGATACGCACAAACGCCGTGCACACCTCCCCTGCGGTGTGCAGGGCGCAACCCTCAACTTCCAGTTTAGCCCTAGCGCAGTGTGTAGCATTTCAATATTCCCTCTCCAGCAACGCTCATACACTGCCAATAGACGACTGGTGGTCATATGGAGAGCCTGAGCCCAGCCGTGGCAATGTGAAATTTCCATGAATGGCTGAGGACCCACAAATGGCTGAGGCCCACCAACAGAGACACGTGCAGTGTCTCCGTTGCTCATTGGAACGGGGAGATGCATTGACTTGAATTTTACCAGACTTAATGCAGTCCTTGTCCTTGGGAGGATGACCTTAGTCGGCATGCAGTGATGGTGTCACCTAGCACGACACTGTCGGAAAATGCAAAAAGGAAGACAACTCAACTGTCTCATCTACAGTCATGGGCTCAGACCCATGGTGAACTGCGGTGTTACGAGCTGGAGAGGGGGGGGGAGCCACATCAGGTGGAATAGAGAGAGCTTGAGCCATGGCCCTGTTTGAGCAGCAAACAAAATAAAAAATAACTTATTTACCCGGGAAATCTACGCAGACTTCCGTGCCATTCTTTTTCAACCTTAAGAAATTTGGCCAACGCCAATTCAAGGACATTATCTATATGTTTAGCTGATGGGGGGAAACGCTGGAGAACCCTGAGAAGACCCACGCAGAACTGGGTGGGAAACATACAAGACAATAATTGAACCCAGGCCCTTCCGACGAAAGTGCCACCCTGCCGCCCCAAAAAAAATAGGAGACGAGAAATACGCGTGACAGATGCGCCGTCCGGGGTGATTAGAGTAAAGTCGGAAAGGAAAGGAAGGGATTTAGGCAGAGCGATAGAGAGGAGGAGGAGGAGCTGGGGAGAAAGTTGTGACCCCTATCCCCCCCCCTCTCTCCCCCTACACCCTCTCTCCCTCGGCACGGTGCGCTCTCCTCGCCACACGGCACCGGGCGGGGGAGAGACACAGCACGGCGCACCGACGTCGGATGTAGCACGGCGGCGACGCAGTAGACACACCAGGGAAAGACGGGGGAGAGAGAGACAGGGAGACAGACAGACGAGAGAGAGAGACGCTGACGAGAGGGCTCGAGAAGGCGCTGGACGGACGGGCAAGCACGGACGGAGAGCGATGCACGTAGAGACGTGCGGACTGACTGTGGAGTGAGACGGCGTTTGACGCTGCAGAGAGAGACTGATTTAGAGAGGCGCTGGCGCACATGGACGAGCAGAGAGGCGAGAGAGACAGGTTGTAGGGGGGGGGGGGTGAACTGACCAAAACGAGATTACACAATTGATCATTAATACCCGCATGAGTGACCAGACAGAGATATCGATTAGGACACAGATGCAGAAATGTACAGGTGGGCATCCGTATAACAAACAAGACGACTCTTAATACGCAGCGGGAAATCGGGAGCGTTGTATTGACGGACACGTCGTTAACAAGCAGAGAGAGAGAGACGCATCGATGCGGCGACAGTGAGAGATATGTGCACCGGATGCCCGAAATAGATGAAGGGAGACGGTGATGAGAAAGTGAACCGAATAAATGAGGGCATTGCGTGTGTTACCGGGACAATGAGAGGAGCACTCCGAGCAGGTGAGGCAGGTGTGCGTGGAATACAACAGCAGATGCGTCGCCCCAGGGAGTCAGACATGCACATCGACCGACAGTAAAGTGGGAAAGGGAGAGATTCCTACAAAGACACACACCCCCTCGCCCCCCCCCCCCCGTCTAAGCCTAAGCAGACTCTCGGGACAAACAAGTGTGTAGTTGGCACGTGCATATTAAGGCCAAAGACTTAGACAACACGTACAGCACGTCGCAGAGAGCCAGGCTGAGTGGGAAGAACACATTTGCATAGTTTGAGACGCACGCACGCACGCACACGGAGAGGCAGACACGTGGGGCAAGCGTGCACGATGGAGAGACGCGCGCGCGGACAAGGATGTCGGCTGCCCTGCGGTGCCGCTGGTCGTGATGCCGGATCAGGTGAGCGAGCGGCTTCTTTGCCTGCGCAGACTTCACGAGCCGCCCCCCCCTCCTCCTCCTCCTCTCGGATGTGCGCCGTCGTAACCAAACACCGCTCGCCGGTTCTGTGTCTACAGTGCTGGTTTCACTTTTTAACCGGTGAGCAGCAGGTGAACGTGCGTCACGTTTCATTAAAGGGTTATGGGCAAAGGTGGTAGCCCTGTAATTGGTGGGGTGAAGTATCTTTGTTGCCTGCTTGTTTAATTAATATTAAAAAAATGTTTTCTGTTAGTATCTTAAGCACTTGCAATATTTTGGGTGTAAGCGTTTTTTTTTTGCTGAATACCGGATGATGACTGTGAACACCAGGGTTGAGAAGGAATATATATGTAGAGTACTGTACCTATGATAGCCGTCTTAAGTAAACTAGATTTGTTTTACAGTGTTATTATTTGCAATGCATTTTAGGAGCCCAGATTACCAAAAATTGCATCATTAGCAGTCAATGACAAATCGAATCTTATTTTGAAAAAATTTGGCAAACTGTTTTTTTCTTCTTCCAAAAATGGCCTTGAGTCTGGTCATTACCATTTTAATTTTCACCACGGGCTAATGACCTCCGATGGGACAGGGGCATTCCTAAATACTCCAGAGGTCATGGAAACAATATTTATGTTTTTAAGCCGAGGCACATATAACTTGTATGTTTAATGAGATGGCGGGGTTAACGTTCGTAATTTGGCTTTTGACGCACCGTAGTTGGTAAAGCAGTTTTGTGAGTGGGATGTAAATCTGTTGTGTCTTTGGAGGAACAGGAATAAGCTCAAAACGATCATCTTAACGATCTAGGAAAGGGCCCCAGAATGGTGTGATAAAAGCCGCATAGGTTTCCACGGTTGTGCTCTGTTGTAGCTTTCCGGTGTTCAGAACTTAATGCATTTCTGGACATGGGAGGCGTTCGGAAAAGCTCCCAGCACACGGAGCGATACGTACGCATTTTGAACTTCTTTCGCACCGTACGTAGCCAACCGTGCTAATTGGAGGTGCGGGGATACGTCAGATATAGCGCCGAAAAAACATGCGGTACTCCCACCGTAGAGCGTGATGTTTGACAATGTTTTGAGTAAAGAGAAATATTCATTTGGTTAGAAAGTCACAACCGTTATTTTTCATTTAATTGTTTCCACATTCATATCCACCTCCCATTAGCACGGTTGACTGCGTACGGTGCACAAGAAGTTCCACATGCATATACATAACTCGCTCCGTAGTCTTCATTTCCCTAATATTTCTGCCTCAATTTCTTTCTCCCATCTTCGGCACTGTATTAGTTGTCTCCCTCCTTATTCGTCAGTTGTCCCTCGCCGTCGGTGGAAGTGCTTCTTGTTTTGACTTGTCAAAAAACTGTTGATTATCTCAAAGGTGTAATTACGTCCAGCAGTGTTAATGTGTTAATTATTTTTTTAACATGCTCAACTGCAGAGAACAATGCGTAATTGTTGGAGTTGTGCGGGTGCCAAAATCATTTGGGAATCCACGCTCGTCTGTTCAGGCCTTGTCATTGTGCGTATATGGAGGCGACGCAACCAAAACGCCAAAGACATGTTTAATTTCCAGCGTATATTTAGCACTGTTGTTTGTTGAAATTTTGAGATGGCTGGCCAGGATTGGGCAAGGACATTGCTCACTTTTAACCCAGCAACCGGAGAGCACAAACTTCAATGTTCCTTGACTCATCGCTATCACAACAAACAATCGCCTATTTTTACGATTGGGCAATTTACCAAATAAGTAAGTCCACTAACATGTTCGCATACAGTCCTTTTGCCAATGGACTGCTCGCTGAGGGCCTCCCCCCCCCACACCATGTGGGTATTTGACCATACTTCACCACACAGGTTGGTGAAGGCGGAGAACAAAGACACTGGGACATTGAAATACAGTGCAAGAACTATGGATTTTTTTGCTGAACTCCTTAATTTACTAATTGGGCACTTTCTGGTTACACATTCCCCCAATGTATTCTTTTCAAAGTGCCTGGGTGTCACATTCAATTTCAACATAAACATGTCAACGCACAAACCGTAAATGGGTGTTTCGAGAACCTTGCGTTCACAGCCGCATTAGTCTGGCCTAAGTGGATCATCACCTTTCAAAGCCTGTGCGCCGCACTCACGGTCTTATCTAACCGTTGCAGCGATTAAGTTTCCCTGTAATTGTTTTTCTTCTTGCATTTGTGCAATCTCTGGGACATATAGACGCTGAGTTAAATGAAACAAAACAAAATCCTGCACGGCTAAAATTCACGTTTCATCCGAGGCCGCATCTCTAGCTGCGACATGTTCACGCGCGCCGCTGACTTCCCTTTTAATCTCAATAAATCTAAATGATTTTCTGTTTGGCCTTTCATTTCATAAACTCCTGTCAACCTAATCGGACATTTCCAGCCTCAGTTGTGCAAGCTGCGTCGTGGTTTTTGTTGCGTTGTTTAAATTGCGTTTTTGTTTAAAATAAATATTCAAATACAATACTGTATCTCACACGCATTAGCCCGCCGTCTATCAGATGTTATCCAAAGCCCGACGTTGCTTTCTGCTGTCTGCTGTTGAGTGCGTGTGCCGTTAGCCATCGCCAATCTGTGTGGCTGAGTGCGGCGTGATTTTTGGCCCTGTAACGCTGAATGCCACTACTTTTAAATAAAAACGGGATATGATAAAATAACAAAAATTTACGGTATTTTCGCCGCAAGAAATTGCATTATAAAACTCTGAATGTGAATCCTTCGTACGCAATTGAAATTAGATCACAATCACTGGTCGCCAATTGTTCTCGTTTGTCTGGCGTAACGTGAAATGCAAAGAGTGAGTTTAGAGTCTGACAACTTCTCTATTCACACTGACTGAAGGCTGTACGGGGAATTCAATCCCCTTACATTTCAGAGCATTTCATTGTTTGGGCCTTTGTATTGTATTGTTTTTGGATCATTAAATATTAATAGGCGCGCAGTTGTGGAATGTAATGGGTTACAGGTACTTTAACATCATGTTATGAATCTGCCCAATGTCTGGACATGTACTAAACTTACCTCACCTGCGAGAAGAAGGGGTTGCATTTTAATCACCATTGACTAAGATGATTGCGATACGGTGAGTGGTGCAGTGTGGTTGGCACGGGCCCCGAGTGGAAATTCATGATTACGCGCGGCACCCTGTCCACAATTCCTGCCCTCTTTGTAGCCAAGTGCCCGAGTCCTTGCGACTTGTGCGCCCCCGGTACAGTTGCAACACCCCCTGCACGCTCGATAGCTACGCCGCTGGACATGTTCATAACGAGAATGACAACAACGGCGTCGTCGTTGTTGACGATCATAACAAACGATGTGTTGCGCCCATTTTTATTCTTTCTCAGACTCCCTCTGAAAACGCGATCCCGAGTCCTCTGCTCCTCGCTGGAGGCCGCCCGATCCCCGTAGAACATCTTACCCCCCTCCCCCCACCACCTCCACCGTCCATCACGGCCACCCACACCACTCCGACGCCATGGAGGTCAGCAAGTCGGCCGGCGCATCACCGGCCAAGAACTTCAAACTGTGGAACCTGAATCGCAAGGGAACCTCGTCGCGGTCCTCCCCAAAGTCGCCGGGCGCCCCACCGGACCCGGCCGAGATCGCTCGCTCCAAGGCGGCCGCGCGTCGCGTGCGCCTCAACGTGGGCGGCCTCGTCCACGAGGTCCTGTGGCGCACGCTAGAGAGGCTGCCGCGTACCCGGCTGGGCCGCCTCCACGCAACCAACACCCACGGCGCCCTCTCGGAGCTGTGCGACGACTACAGCATCACCGACAACGAATACTTCTTCGATCGGCACCCAGGCGCCTTTGCGTCGGTGCTCAACTTCTACCGTACGGGCCGCCTGCACATGAGCGAGGAGATGTGCGCGCTCTCCTTCGGCCAGGAGCTCGACTACTGGGGTGTGGACGAGATCTACCTGGAGACATGCTGCCAGGCGCGCTACCACCAGAAGAAGGAGCAGATGAGCGAGGAGCTGCGGCGCGAGGCGGAGAACGCCCGGGAGCGCGAGGGCGACGAGTTCGAGGGCACGTGCTGCGCCGACAAGAGGCGTAAGCTCTGGGAGCTGCTCGAAAACCCAAACTCCTCGCTCGCAGCCAAGGTGAGCGAATGTTTTCAGTGCGACGGTTTGCTTTCGCGTGTTTTACCGCGAGCGTGATGTGTGGTTAATGCAGATTCGGTGAGACCTCGTCACGGGCATCTTGCTTGGTGTCTTCCACGAAGCTCGTGGTCTACCCTAAACCGCATCTGCTGCGCAAATCGTGGCAGATGCAGATACCTGACACACGAATGGAAAATTTCAACTTTCCAATGGTGCGACTGTGGTCATCCAGAACAGGCCTTAACAACGTGTAAGGATGCAATGCACAATCCACAAATACGAAGGAGACATCACAGCGGTACACTCCGCTGCTCCTGACGTGGTTATCTGGCTTGACCACCTGAATGTGAAATTGTAGTTGTTGCTCTGCATCTAAATTAGCCGTACGAAAGATTATTTGGTGTTTGAACATTGTAACACCTGTTTTATTTACAGAAATGGTAAAGACTTTTTCTTCCCTTTTATCTTAATACTGGCAAAAAAATGGTCCCATGAACGGTGTATGTTGTATGTATATTGTTATGTATGTTGTTGAACTTATTTCGCACTGTACGGAGCCAACCTTGCTAATTGGAGGTGCGGGGGAAGGACAATAAACTGAACACAAAAGTGCATATCTCCCAGTGGCTTCCTAATGTCGGAAGTAAGAGCCTTCCGGACGACCGCAGAAGTGCATCTGAAGGCTCGCGATGCAGTGACCGTCTTCATTAGATGGTTAGCAAAAAGCCGCTGTGAGGATGACCGTAGTTTGCTTGTTCCTCCCGTGTAGAGCTCTGTGGCTCTCAGATGAGTTTTCGGGTTGTCCCCTGCGTGTTGTTCCAACACGATGTCTGACGTTTAACTCCGCGCGCGGGAAACTTATTATTCAGCAACGTGATCTGGCGATGCGGTACAATCGAGGGAGGAAATGAGCTGCCCAGTTGAGTTGCTGAAGAAGCTCCCCAGGATGCGGAGCGAATCAGAATCTTTATTTATCCTGGAGGAAATCCGATGAGCTATGAAGCTCTTTTTTCACACTTGTCCAGTAGGCGCGAGCAACACATAGGACCGCATATCAAAGGGGTTTTCTTTGTCTCAACCTACCAAGTGTCCTGGTTTTGGCTGGGACAGTCCCAGTACATCCACGTTTTATTTATAATGATAGGAATAATATCCTCTATATATCCAGGGAAGTCTCAATGAGTCTCACTGAATTCTTCATGAGAGTCCTCTGCATTTGGGACGCTTTGCTAATTCCATGAATGAGTGATTTGGCTTGTTGGGAGGAAATTGGGAATTCTTGGAAATAACACACGCATGCAAGAAAATCATCACACTCAAAGGTCCTCAGAGATTTATTCAAGAAAAAACAATTGCTGCATGTCGCCGTACATCCATCTCCTGGATTGTTTGTATACTTTTTCATACATATATATGGAAAGGCTTTTTTAGACGCCTCGGGCCCAGGAAGTTGAATGATTTATTCTTTAATGGCAGTATCTCCAGTGACACCATGAATGAGTGCTGTATTGCCGCTTCATGAATTAGACAAGTCATGTTCTATTGAGAACCATATGCGAGGTGTATGAGGGTACAGTCACATAGTGACGGCCAGAATATGTAAATCCAAGGAGACATGCAGGAGCGCATAGCAATCGAATGTGCAGGCGGTGAGACTGCACCGTGTCCCATGGACAAGAGTGGGTAGGGGTAGGGGGAATGTTATTTTAACACGTAGGCTCTTGCGGCCAATATTATCGATAATAGATTGTTTTTGGGTTAGATCGCAGTAAAATATAAATGTGCCGTTAAACCTGCTACCGCCCGACACAGCCGGTTAGGGAGGTTGTGTCACGTAAACAAAACGTGCCAATTAGTAACGAGTTCAGCTCGTGGAGAGTAAACCCACGACAACATTTACAATTCGAGTGCCGTGACGTTTCGTCGGTAATTACAACCAGCCTCATTAGGCAACAGCCAAAGTTGTGGGTTTGTTATTCCTTGCACCAGGGCCCATGCCAACCAATGCCACACTACTGGAGACATGGGTGTACTTATTAATGATAATTTCAACCTGTAACGAGCGGCCACTGCACTGTATTTGCTCGCTCTCAAAGAGGGAGAGAGAACGAGGAGGAGGATGGAGGCATCGCAGGCGAGCGGGAAAGGTTGCAGCCAGGCGGTGAGCCGGCATCAATACTGTTGCCTCAGCTCTGTGGTCCTCTATATTAAGATGTTTTCAGGAAACTAGAGCATCTGGAGAAAACGCAAGAGTAATCTTTGACAGAAACTGTCATCATCATCCATTGAGAGGGATTCCAAATACATTTATTTTCAAATCGGATGGAATTGTTTAGTTTTACAATCGCTCCGAAAGTACATATTCTACAGGATAAGTATATAAATTGTATATGCCCTTGATATTTTGTCATACAAATGTATTGAAGACGCAGATAATGCATTTTGAGTTGAAAGTTCGGTGTGACAGATTCCGTCCAATCACAATCATAATGAGGGAGCTGCTGTGAAAAAAACTATAAATCAAAGGAGCCGATGGCAGGAGCGGCCGTTGCTGAGAAACAATTCCGTTTTGGAGAAACAAACGAGTCGCTTGATGCCTACAATTTTATTGTAATTCTATTCAAATCAAAACGCAGTGAATGGTTTGTCTACTGCTGGATGAAACCCCCCCCTCGTGCCGTCACCATCTCTCCCGCGGCCCTGCTTACGTAATCTGTCAGCGGGATATCACTCTTCAAAGGGAGACCTTTGCAAAGAGAACACTAATGCTTAACGTATCAGTAGGCGAATACCCATTAAGGTGCAATATAGATGACATTTTTCTCTACGACCTGGATGGATTGAAGTTATATCACTCATTTTCCTACACCCCCCTCCACCCGCCGTGGCCCCACCCTAACCAACCACGGACAGGCTGACCTTGTTAATGTTGTCAGCACATCTGGCTTGTCCGTTAATAATTAACGGAGGGAAGGCAATCTCGCGTGTCTGTGAATGTGCGCGCGCGTGATATTCCATATTGTCTCGCATAAGGAAGGCCCCCTCCCCCGCCCGCCACCCCCCCCCTTGTGAGCTTGCTGTGTGCGAGTGAACGTCCACACGCGCGTGTTTTTCCCGACGCAACGCCGATTTCACGTTCGAGCTCCGTGCGGATGTGTCCGTGCTGGCACGGCGACGCATTGTCGGTTGGGTTACTTGTCGAGCGCTTGTCAACTCGTTCGTTCTGTTACGGCGCACTGAGCCCCGCCATATAGAATGTGGAATGGCTACCAAATCGTTAGGTGGCTCTGCGGTCGAGAGCGAGCGGCTCGCGATCCGCAGGTTGCGATTTCAAATCCTGGTCAGGGGTTGACTCGGCCAAGTCGTCCTTCGGGAGTTCATACGATAGGTACCCCATTATGGTTAGAAACACCCCTACCATAGGAATGTGGAATTTGCACCTCTGGTTCAGGGCTGTAAGCTGGTGATGAGCACCGCCTCAGTGCTTGAGCAGGACAGAACGTTGGCTGTTCATCAGCAATCGTTGTGGTTTCAGTAAGTGTGGCTATTAACCAAACACAACAGCGCAGTGCAAGGGCATTGCAAATTATGACTTGGATTTCGAAGTTTTAGTTGTTTTTTACACGTTTCCCATATACAGCGTAAGGCATCCCATTGATTACGTAAACATACATGTTTTGTGTAGAGTTTCAAGTGTCGTTTGTTTAAACCAGGTGAGACCTCGAGAGACCAGGATTGCAAGTCATCCGTGCCATTAGTCTGTATGCATGTTGAACTTCTTTCGCACCGTACGTAGCCACCCACGATAATTGGAGGTGCGGGGGAAGGACAACAAGTCTGCCACAGTAGGGCGCGATGATTGCCATGGGTACAATCCCAACTGAGTAAATTGCGGCGTAGTTTTTTCGAATTTGGCAAATTCGGACCCTCACGTGGGCACACAGTGGCCTACTCTTACGAATGATGTCAGGGGATCATTAACGTCCACAGAGAAGCAAACGGTAGTACTGTGATTATTAACCAGGGCGGCCACTGGATTCGAACCGTGGACCTCTGCAACAGGCGGCGAACGCCACTGCTAGGCCGCGTCACTGCACCCAAGGGCCATGCTGAGGTTCATGGACCCAGTTATTTGGGGTGCCGCGGTGGCGAGATGTGAACTACCTCACCTGGTATACAGGAGGTCGTGGGTTCGATGCCGACCCTGACGCCTGCTATATATTTGGAGTTTGCGTGTCTCACTCCCTGTGGTCGCGTGCATTTTTCTCCGGGCCCTCCGGTTTTTCCCTCCACGTTTAGAATCAAGATGCGCTTTGAGTATTTGATATAAATTTCCACATTTGTGACCAGGTTGCTTCTGAAAGATAGATATTATAGCTCAGTGGGCCTTACCTGGTAAAAGAAAAATAGTAAGTTTTTTTTATATCTACGGAAGTCTGAGTAAACGTACGTGTACCGTGTTATGAAAGAGCTATACAGTTACTAAACTAAATACGTTCGTCAATAAGGCCGTGGCCTTAAAAGTAAACACACACTGTCTGGCCTAAAAGTCAGGACACGTGAGGGATATTATATTTATTGTAACAAATCACATTTGGGTTATTTTATTTATTTAAAAAATGTTAAAACTGACTTCCATTAACATCCATGCATGCATGAGTTCTCTTTTGAAGTTTAGGAATTTTTTAAGGACCAAAGCTGGCTTCTTTAGCATGCATAAAAAGAAAAATATAACTCGTTCGTCTTGAGTCAATTTCCATTTTTAAAGGTCATCTGAAAAGCAAGAACGAAAATAGATATAAACGATAATAGATACAATATAAACTTCAATTATGAACAATACACTGTTTTAATGACGATGTTAAAATATATTAAATAACTCCATGTGTTCTTGAATGTTTGGTCCACCCTTTGCCCTTCTTATTCAAAGCAGATTAAAATAATAAACAAGCCAGCACATAGCCCTCATTGCAACTGTATGCAGCTTATAGATGTGGATT